ATAAAGTCGAGCCGGGTTGACCCGAAATTTTATAAATATGATTTTAAAATTATAAATATATAATAGTCTTTTTATCTTCAATCTCAGCCCTCTATTAACTTTTAATCCTAGCCTTTGATTGTAGGTTCGGATTTTCTTATCTTTTCATTTTGAATCTCACTTTCACTCAACCTTTCTCCCAAGCCTCTAGCCTCCATTTTCTTCTCAATCCTCCATCCTCCATTTTCTTCTCTCACTCAAGCTCCCATCACTGACCACCTTTGTAGCTCCCGTCGCTGACCTCCTTTGCAACTCCCCTCACCACAGGCCTTCGCAGCTGCGGTCGTTGCTTGCTGCAACAACCACGGTCACAGCTCGTCGTTGTCGCAGCAACTTCACGTCAACATTTCATTGATGAGATTTTGATTCTTTTACATGAATCCTTATGTAGCTTTGAGGTTAGACAAAAATATGGGAGGAAAAAAAAGTGTTGTCTGGTTCCATCTTGGTGTTAAAGTAACATGTAGTTGTCTCCTCAACTACAACCCGAAATTTTTGAGTTGGGTTGGGTTGGGTTGGGCTGGCCATCAATTTTAGACTCGTCGGTTCCCACATATGATGAACCCGAAAAACTCCTAACTCGACCCAACTCAACCTGTGAACACCCCTAAAAAGAATCGTGAGTCTCTCTTTAGCCTAGGACAAAAAGATGGTCGATCGATTTGGTTTTACCTGTAAGAGGGTCGTTGCAGTAAAATACTCAAGAAAGAGTCTTGAGGAGTGGAGTAGGAATTTCGAACCACTATAAAAATTCTCGGTGTCACCCACCCTCTTGTCCGCTCTATTAAATTCAGTATTTATCTAGTTTGAATTATTTTTCTAGATTGCATATAGGTTTGCTTAAATATTTTGTTTAATAATTGTTCTTCTTAATCTTCTTTTGTTGCTTGCATAATTGTTTATTGCTCTTGAATTTATTTTTAATTTTCGATCTTATGGAAAATACCAAAAAAATAAATATGTTCTTTATTTCTTCCAAGTCAAATAATTAATGTTCTTCCATTAGAGATCATCCAAATGGTAAAAACTAGAAACAATCTTCGTATTTCAACAACAATTATATTTCTATTTCTCCTCCCATTTTTTATTTCCTGTGCCGCACACGTCCACAATGTTACCTTTTAGGTTAAAAATCAAATTTGGTCGGTCAATGTATTTTGTTAAAGTAACGATGCAGTTCATGTGCTTTCAAATTGGTAAGAATTTAATATTTGAACTTTAGCATGTAACAATTTAGTCTCTATAATTTAAAATATATAATAATTTCGTTCTTACCGTAAAAAATCTCATCAAAATTAAGTGTCGATTTTTATCATGTCATGATTTAGTCGGTGTAATTTGCAAACTCATTTGGTCCCTCTCATCGGTTTTTCAATCTACATATTGAAGAAACGTAACATAAATATTTCATGATAGGGATTAAATCGTAACGAATTTAAACTACAGGAGCTAAATTATTAGATATTAAAGTTTAAGACTAAATTGTTACAAATTTGAGAGTACATAAACTGAATCATCGCAAATTAAAGTTTAGAGGTTAAATCGTTACTTCAATAAAAGTACATGGACCAAGAGTATTTTTTGTCCTACTTTTTAACTTCTACCTTTTCCCTCACTCTTGATAATACAGCCTTTTAATTAATTATTTTACAAYTTTACTCTTTTTTGTTTCATTTATACTATTAATCATTTTTATTCTAATAAAAAATTATACAACTTGATGTATTATAGAATATTACAAATCCCTATTTAATTTATCAATTATTTAATTTTACTTTATTATTATTAATTAATATAAAAAATTGTTTATTATTAATATTTTATGTTAATGATGGTTGTTATAATAAAATTTATATTAATTTTTTTTATTGTTTTATTCCTTTCTTAATATTAAATAAATTGTTAGAATAAAATGTTATTATTATCAATAAAATAATAATAATAAATTAAAATTGTTTATTATTAGTAGGAGCATAGTCGATGATTTTTTAAGATTTATTTCATTTTTATCTCATAGGAATAATATTTATTAGTTTTTAAAGAAAAATCAATATAAAAAAGGTTTATGATTTCGAAAATGAGAAGTGATCGTGGAGGAGAATTTGATAATACAACTTTTGAATAGTTTTGTGATAGAAATAGTTTTTCTCTGGATTTTTTTCTCAAAGAACACTACAACAAAATGTTGTTGTAAAAACGAAAAAGGACTCTTTGCAAGAATTAACTACTTTATTAAATGAGTGTAATTTACCAAAATATTTTTTGTTCGAAGCTGTTGATATTGACTTGCTTAAATGGACTTGGCTGTCTCTTCTATCGGAGGAATTTGAAGCATTATTTTTAAAATAAATTTTGAATTAGTATTACTTTTAATTATTTAAATTTACTTGTTATTATTAATTAATAGCAATAAAATTGTTAAAATATAATTTATTTTTATTATTATTATTATTTTATATAAATGATGGTTGTTAGTATAAAAGTTGTATTGATCTTTTTTTAGTTTTAGTTGATGTAATTTTATTTATATTATTTACTATTTGTTAGTATTAAATAAATTGTTAAAATAAAAAAATTATTATAATCAATAAAATAAATCAGAATTTATTACTATTTTAGTTTATATATATATATATATGAATACATTATTTAGTTAATGCATTTGTAATTAGTTAAAAATAAAAAAATATATTCTAGTAACCGTAATTTCTTATTTTTATTCAAATTCCAAAAAGTTTTAGTAAACATCGATATGTTTCTTCTGACTTCAATTCCAAAAAAAAAAATAATAATAATAATAAAGAGTAAACAAAGTCGAATAAATAATATTATCATTTTGATTCAATTCATGGTACGATCAAAGCCTTATTCTATCCCAAACGTCTCGTACCAATGGGGATTGAAAAGAAATGTATACTATTTTATCCTTGAGATTTAGAGTATTTGTTTATTTGGTCCCTGCAATTTTTAAATGAACATTTTGTCCTTGAAGTTTGAAAGGAGTGTCTATTTTTTAAAATAGACATTTTTAGTCCTTTAAATTTAAGAAATGATTTTAAATAGTCCCTCGAGTCTACTTTGACCATGAGTTGACTAACCTTAAAATGATATGGCAGTTAAATTGCTTGATTTAATATCACGTTTGTGGTTTTATTTCCTCTTCCTCTCACCTTCTCCCCATCTCTGCCCAATGCGACTAGAACGAAGAGGAGCTCTCTTCAAATTCCTTGGGCCACCATTAAAGCCCATGAAGGGTCGTTTGGTTGGAGGTTTCAAAAAACTAGCCTGAGATTAAGATGTCTGAGAATCAAAGATTATTGTGTGTGGTTGTATATATGTTTATTTTGTAGGATTATTCTAGATATGTATTTTTTGTCAATATAAACATTGATTAATAACTAATCAAATTTAAATTTAAATTATTTTATATTTAGCAAAATGATATATTGTAGAAAGTATTAAAATTAACCATTTTTTTTTAAGGAAAAGTTGCTTCAATTCTTCAAATTTCTAGTTCTAGACTTTTTTTTTTGGATTTTTTTTGAAGAGGGGAGAGTTAATTTGTTTCTCAATCCTAATTTACCAGTAGGAAAAAAATTCAAGTTTTTGATAATAACCAAAACTAAAGGAACAAATAAAAAAAAAAGTAGGAAAAAGAATTAAAACAAAAAAAAAAACAAAAAAGCAAATCACCAAAGAAAAAATAAATAGCAAAGGAAGAGAGAGGGATCAATTTTAGAATAGAGAGAGTCAGAGTTTTTAAAGAGAGATAGGGTTATCTGAAAACACGCAAAATAAAAAAATTCTGCCACCTTAACGTATCAAGGACGTCTGGTAAAAACTTTTTTTTTCAAGCAAATCATGTCAAACCACCGACCAAACATAGATTTTATATGCCTAAGTTCATTCCCGTCTCTTAAACCCTTCAATCAAGCGGGCCTTATCTCAGGCATCCATGTGCACCGAACTCCCCCGGCCATGGCGGAAGATGCAGCCATCGTTGGCTCAATTTAGGAGGATGGGATTGAGTTTCATGGGTGGATTTCATCGAAACTACAGGTCCCCATGGGAGACGTTGGAGCTACTGCTGCAGGTTTGGGAGCTTAGATTCTGTGAGGGATTTTTTTGTTCTTTTCCAGAGTTTAATATGTTTCTTTTCAGACATAATCGAGAAGGGAAGAAGTGGAAGCCATTGTTGCCCAACCAAGCTCAACCCAAGCAACTTTCATGGTGGATCTCTGGAAAAAAATCTCAGGTACCCATATTCTCATCTCATCTATGAATCGATGATTGTAACGAGGGAAGATCGTCGGAGAGGGAGCTTTCTCCTTGATCTCCGACGACTTCTCCCTCTTTGGCGAAGGCGACTGGATAGGAACATTCGCGGTGGCGGCAACATGGGCCGGAGATGGGGAGTGGAAGAGAAAAATAAAACCATAAATATAATATTAAATTAATTTATTTCGCAAAATGTTCAATTTAACCACCTCGGTTTAGACCCAACTGTCAAAAGGAGCTCGAAAAAAGTACATAAGAACCCCATAATTTTGTTTCCACTCCAAAAATACACTGATATGTAGTTTTTTTTCAATAATTTCTCTAATACGAGGGGATTATCTCAGGATCATTAAAAAGGTTATGATTCCTGAAATAAACTTAGTGTTTGAGTCCGTGTTTTTTGAACCAATAGCTTTTCCATTGGCCAAAAACACGGGCATCAAACTTCCCTCTACGTATTAAAGAAACTATTGGGAAAAAATTACATATATCATATATAAAACGACAATCACTTTCTAAATCTTAAGAACCAAAAATGTCCATTTTGAAACTTCAAAGACAATAGACATCTATTTCAAACTTTAAGGACCAAATAGACATCTATTCCAAACTTCAAAGATAAAATGTTCGTTTTGAAACTTCAAAAATCAAATAAACACCTATTGAGAAACCAAAAGTGTATCTTTTCGTCGAAAAAAATACAAATATATATATATTACAGGGGAGATTCAATTCCTATACATTGCATGCATACACTTATAAACATTAAAAAGAGTAAGAGGAGGTCATAAGAGGGCTACAAACTTCACACATTTTCCTCATCTCAAAAACAATTAAAAATACAAAAATTGAACCCACTTCCATATTATCATTATCCCTCGCTCTAGAGTTCATTATGAAAACTTCACAACCAAAAACAAAACCAGATCATAAGGATTTGTACCAAAAATAAGAGAGGGCAGCAAGGCAAGAGAGAATCGAACATACCGAAGGCTCCCCGTGCCATTCCCAGTAAACATACGATGGTACCGCACACCCTTGTCTGCTGCTCGAAAACTTGATATGGTGAAGTAATTTTAATCCATCTTGATTTACATATCTTACACTGTATGGAGCCTCATCCCTGATGGGGGTTCATTCTCAGTGTCCACTCCTCTCGGTTGGCGATCCTGGAACAAAGGGAACAAATCCCCTGCCCCCGAACATTGGGCGCATGAAGGCATCGTCAAACTTTCGCCAGTAGCGATGCACGGTGTGTGTAGGGGTGGCAAGGAGTGC